AAGATGTCAGAGCTCTCCCAAAAATACATGATCATAGATGGACTTGTACTAGAACATACAGATAGTACAATACATGTATATTTGCACATCAGGGTGTTATTTGTTCAGCAGCCCAGATTGTGGTACCCAGGGCTGAACAAGCTGCTGTCACATTGAACTCGTCAAACACAGACCTGCCTTTTAGCAAACTATTTCAGTTTTGCTGGCAAACAGTGGAAATGAGCTGTGCTGTTTCAGAGTAAAGGACATTTTAGAGGATGAGCTGCTTTGCACATCTCATTTGTCATTTTCTTTCACAGACATTGTGCTGACTAATTTCACAAAAAACATACAAATGATAGATTATAGATACAGTGAAGCTGCAGAGGATTTTAGCTCTTGTGAAAACATGATTTATGAATTGTTTGCTCTATAGATAATCACTATCGTATAATAACAGATCTGCCTTAGAGAGCAAGAAAACAGTGTGTAAATGTTATCTGTGATTGTATTTCAGTAAAGATTACAGAGGTTGTCCTTACAAAATTTGTTTGTTGATACTCCACCTCTGCAAATGAATAAATACAATGAAATAACCAACAAAACAACATATGGCCTCATCAAAGCTAGCAAGACATTGCGATTCATCTAAATTGGCAGACTGGGCTAGAAAAGCAGTAATCAGTGAAGCATACAAGAGGTCCATGGTAACTCTTTGACATACACAAAATGTTCCCCACTTTGCTGAGGCAGCCACTCCATTTCGTAATCTTTATTTATTCAAATATCCTTTTGTGTCCTTCCTCGCAAAGCCCAAGATCTCACAATACAATCAGCGCGTCTGTAACTGCATGTGCAAATATTGTACTTGTTGAGATAAGCTGCATAGGTCCTTCTTTTATGGCAATCTGAATCTTCGGTGGAGAAAAGTAATTTCCAATAAAGCTGTTACCTGGTTTATTGTCGCTCTTGTATTCTTTCCATTCACCATTATGAAAATTCATTTACTACCCGTCTTTTCAAGTGCTGCCCCATTTCTGTGACCAGTGTACTTGTTTTTTGTGTATGTATTAATAATTCGCAGCCGAGTTTTTCCATCTTATTTTCATGGGTAATTGGCTATGCAACCCATGGAATCAGGGACCTGCAGGCAACACGGGGATGGAAGAAACTGCAATCACTGAAGCTTGTCAGACCTTTTTTCCCCTCTCTCCTTCATTCAGGGACTGCATCTGATTTATTTATTAATTTTTGTGCTTTCCTTCCATTCAAAAATGCATCATAATTTCCCCAATCATTTCTCGCTCTCTCTTTTTTTTTGTGTGGCGGTGGAGTCGCTTTCCTCCCTTCAGTCTTGCCGTTCTTTAATTTCCCTCCTCGTTCTAACTTCTAACTTGCCGGGAAAGTGCACCCATATCTCGATTACACCAAGAAAAAGCCGGTGCAATTTCCTGCAAGATTATAGTGATGGATTTACACAATATCAATCAGAGCAAATGTGAGTATTCAAATGCCCCTCTGATACCGGGATGTTGAGGGGGAAAAGATGGTTTGGACTAGTGGTCAAAAGGTTCCACCTCATATGGCAGCCTTGAATAATTTCCTAAAAATCACTGTTTTTAGTTTAATGAAACATGGAGGATTAAAAACAGATTTTACAGCCTGAGTGACAGCCAGCCTGATAAAGACGATGGATTTCTCCAAAGGCTCCCCGTCTTATTCACAGAATATTTTCACTTGCTACTGAGAAGCAGGTCACTTCCCTCTGACCTCAGGACATTATTACCCTGTAATCATGTGTTGCTCTGCATGGCTACATTTGTTATTTCCCTTTGACAGCCTAATGTTAGAAGAAAGCAATTTTACCTGATGGATGATCATAAGACCAGGGGAGGCTATATCAGCTTCATGCCTCATCGCTGAATTATGCACAACAAAATCCCAGAGATGCCTGAATCGACTTGCCCTGCAATACCTGCCGTCTCAAATAAACTACCACTTTGTGTGCTTCACACGCCGGGTATAATTGCCCGAGCAGCGAGGACTCCTCTGCTTGTCGGATGGTACACGAAGCCGATTCATTACCGTAGCATTTACTTGTCTTCTTAAATCAAATATGCTGTCAGTCCTTATCACAGCGCTATGAAAAGTTGGTGACTTATTTTTCGAGCTGCATGACTGATTCGCGGGTTTGGGGTCATTCATGATCACAGAAATCAATCGGGACAGCTTCTCGGGGCCATGCTTTGTCTGTTGGCGGCAGCAGGGATAACGTGTCAAAGTGGGCCTCCTCGATCTTGTCACTTTAAATGCGATCAATACCGTTTCCCCACCAACCGAATGCCTGTGAATATCAGCCCCTCGCCCTCACTACATCTCTCTCCTCACACCGGGTCTGAACGTTTTGATCAATATTTGACTGGAAGCTCAAACACATCAGCAGAGGCAACAACAACAACAAAAAAAGTGAGGAAGAATTAAATGCTTTGCAATTTACTGAAGACAATAACAAACTCTGCGGGAGCAGCAAAGCAAGAAAACAGAAATGAAATGTATGCCTTTCAGAAGTAATTAGACAGTTTGAAGTTTTTCCACACTCCAGCTACAGACTTCATGGTATTTCACTAACGTTTAATGAAAAAGACTAAGAGAGAAGGGCGGATAATGGTGAATTAGAAGGAAATTACATTTTCCATCTAATCTGACTGTTGGTGACTGCTGTGAAAGGTGGACTAGAATATTTCTGAAGAGGTACAAAGAGAATTCGAAGCGCATTTTCTTCAATTTGCCCAATATAGTTTTATGTTTTTGAACATGTTTCTCCTGCAACAAATACACCTCCCAGAAGCTTTGTACATCAGTGAGGAGAAATCCCAAAGAATCCTTGTTGACTTCAAGAGAGCGCCAATCCATAAAAACAAACCTCTGACTAACAGACCTGAAAATTAATGCACCTTAACATCCAAGAAGCCTGTAGAGAGCGGCGACTGAGTTGAATTCAGGAGCTTGGCTCAGAAAACAATTGTATTAATTGCCCTGGAGATTTAGGACATGTATATTTATCAATTCCAGGAGCGTACTTAGCTCCCTCATGCTGCAACAGGCTGATGTTTGGTGAAATGGAGCATATGCATTGGCCACCAGATAAAGAGTGAGTGTGCAGTGAACCTTTTCTGAGACATTTCTGTGTCTCTTCTCTTGAGTACTTAGCCCCATCATAGTTTCTGACTGTTTTCTCTCCACTCTTCCCTTCATATGCAGGCACTGCTCTCTTGTGTTAGCCTTTGCCGGGAGTTTCTGTTTGCTGGACGCTGTTCTGGCCAAACAGTTCATTGGGCTATCATTGGAAAAATATACATATAAATATGGTAAAAAAATTAGGTTAATCTTTTCACTCAGATTCAACGACACGTACACAAGTGACATTAAGTCTACTGCAAATGAGACATAAATATGCAGTGAGAAAAAAAAAACACTGCCACACACACACATCTACATAAAATCTCAGTTCAAAGAGCAGCAGCTCCATTTGAGATATGACTCTGGACAGCATCGGTATGATGAAGAGGGAGCGCTCTTGACAGTGTTGTTGGTGGAACAGCATCAAACAGTGGTGCGAGAGTGTGTGTGTGTGTGTGTGTACGTGCAGATGCCACATGTGCTGATAAAGTCCACACGCGACACGATCCTCCAGTGAGAAGTGAGGTTGTTCATATCAAGTGTTTGCTCATAGCTATACATGGTGTTGCTTTTTGTCTGCAGAGATTGTCTGGTGTAGCAAAGTGACATCTGATCTGATGGCTTTTGAAACATCTGAACCTGATGCACAGTGTCAGAAACATATTTATGTCATGTCAGCTATGCAAAAATGCTAAACGATCCAGGCTGGAAGAAATAAAGTCCTTTTTTTTGCAAATTAATATCAGCATCAAAGGAACCTGTTGATTTTGAAAGCAGTCATAAGAATATACATCACTAGAAATGTTCTCGGCATACTCCATTCTAGCTTTTACAGGGACTATTTTTCTTTCTGGTGTTTTTTTTAATATGCAAGTTGTTATGCAGAAACCGTGAATGTAACAAAACCCAAATTGATAAGGGAGTCTTATCCCCCATACGCCAGTGAAAACCACACCCGGCTAGTCTAAAATAGCTTGTTTGCTTGCAGGACTTTTCCACTTTCACTTGCTAACATCAGCAAGTAACAGTTTTGAAATGTTTTCCCACTGGAAATGTTTGGCTCTTCTTAAAATAAGTACAAGCAGATCTCTGAACCATCAACTGACTAATTAAAGCAGAACTTTGGGAGAGGCCCCAGCTGACCTCCAGAGAGAGCGTAACAAAATGTTTCTGGAGCTGCTTGCTTTATTAGTTTATGTTATATTGGGAATATTACACTCATTTTAACAGCACTCAGGATGAAAATCTCTACCTAAAACATTACATAGTCTGGCCTGAGTGGTAAGCAGCAATTTGGCATGTTTTCTGGAAGAAAGTTATTAGTAAAAAAAAATATCTGATATGAGAATGCATCAGTTGCATTCTCATATCAAGCTTTGGCTCTGTTTAGCACATAATGAACCTTTAGGATTTCCACCCCACTTTCACATCTAATGATAAAAAGCTCATTTGCATCTACTGATAGGGATGAGCTCTTGTAACAGCTTTAAAGTGCCAGGTTGATGTGACACAATAGTGATTCCAGGAAACCATTGACAGGCTAAGTGCATAAAAGAGCAGAATTGGAGGGAAAGAAGCTGAAGTACAAAACTACATCCATGACTCTTCAAATTAAGAGAGTCATTGAAGCAAAGATTATTCATCATCAAAAACATGCTGCTATTTTAGAACTAAAATCGTGCATGATTGTATAAGTAGAGATGTTGTGGATGCCTTAAATGTTTTTGAGAAATAAGAGCCTAATTGGGAAAGATTCAATTAAAAAATAAAGATGAGGTTGACTTGACTTGGTCTGAGTGTCATGAGTAAACAGGCTGTTGCTGTGCAGCGTTTGTACTTACAGAGAGCATTAAGCAGTCCGCAGGATTTTCTTGTGCTTCGCTGGCATATTCAGAGGGCCTGGGCTGCGAGTAGCACCATAGAGACTTTTCTCTGACAGACGGAAACGATGGGCGTATCTGGCTCCAGCCGCATGGTTAATAGCCATGGCCACTATGAGAAAAGGAGATAAAGCAGCATGAGCAATGGACACATGGACGTTAGTGCTACCTTATCAGCTCTTACTGAAATTTAGATGAAAAGGTTGATACCGCTCTTTTATCTTAGCCTCTGAATAATAAACAGCCAGCAGATGGTTAGTTCAGCCTACTATAAACACGAGAAACGAGGACACGGTGAAGTACGACAATTCTGAGAGGGCAAAAAGTAGGAATTGCATCATCTGTCTCACAGATGATTACAAAAAGCACTTTCATTAAGGGAACCGTGGAACACAACTCTAGAAATGCAGTTGTAGTTAATTACATTTTCTGAAAGGATTCAGGATGAGTTAGACGATGTAAATAAGCAGGTAGACATAGATTTAAAACAAAAGGAACATTGCTGCACAGCCAAAATGTAAACTGAAATTGGTTTACACTTTTTAATAACTTAAGCAATTTATTGTTTTATTATTGCACAAAGAAAGAGACAGTGTATATAGATGAAATAGTTTATTTCATTAGATGTAGAAAATCATATCTAGCTTGCAAAGACACACACATATGGTAATAATTAAGAGAAAGTGACGACAAATAAATATTGACAGTGAAAAATATAAAGTGTTGTCTGTAAAACAAACAATCTTCTTGACCCAAACAAAGTATTATGCTGCAGGATTTGACTTTCTGATGCAGATCCAGATGGTTAAGATTGTATTTGACAATTTTTTAAAATTTGCTTTTGGGCAATAATAAATTTGAGCCAATAAAACTAATGTGGGATTCCTCAAGGCTCCATTCTTTCCCCACTATTATTCAATGTGATTTTATTCCTCCTGCATGAAATTATGAAGTACTAAAGTATCCCTTTAATACACATACTGGTGACACAACATTAGTGTATATTTCTATGGCCACAATATTCTACAGTGACTGAGTCAATGTTTCCTAAATATAATCGTGCTCTCAATATACTGCAAGTTTAATGTGAAAGCTTTCACTTGTAGGCCAGGTTCACTGTAAGCACACACCATGCATGATGGGAAACAGCCACCCACTGTTATGCCGGAGAGTTGCAGCCCTCCGTCTTCACAGAGGAAGCACCAACAGGCGATGTTGATGTATTAGAGCTATTTTAAGTCATTTGCAAGAGCTTCATAAATCTTTGACATGTTTTTAAAAACACAGCTAGCAAACAGACCCAACAAACAAGTAATCAATTGGTGTTGCAGCTGCTTTTGAGCTCAAACTGAGAAATAAGTTGTGCCAAAGCTGAGGAGGGAGAGACAGGAGCAGGTGATAATGGGATAAATCCCGAACCCTGAGGCTACACAGTGCTGGCCTGTGCTGGCGAACAGATCTGCTGACATGATAACTTCTCATGACATGTTGCTCTGTGTAGGCAGAGGAGCTGTTGGCTCTTTACACAATGTAACTCACAACTGGGTGGTCGAAAAAGTAAAAAAGTTACAGCACACAAATAAAAACATGCGTAAATAATGTTAAATAAATTGTTTAGCGCCGGTACAATTCAGACTTTCAAGAACTTAACTTTAATATCACAGAGGTAGACCGCACATTGTCCATATGATTTCCTCTTAGACAAAATTTGATTAATAATCTTTGTCTCTGGCGGGCTAATTCATTTATTATCCCTCAGCTGCCAGCCTGATCAGACGCTGCATAAACGTAAGTGTACTTCAGAGTTTTAATCATGTAGGAGGATGATGTAGAAGCTCCCAGCAATTCTGTTGCAAGATGATGAAAATTATTCATAAAGTTTTCAAAAGATAAGCACTTAAAATATCTAATAGGAAGCTTCAGATTTAAATCTCCTTTTCCAGCCGACTATTAATTCCCTCATGGCCGAATGTGTTGAATTTACTCCTAATTCTCATAGATATCCTGCAGACCGATTGGCTGTTGGGTAGCACGGACTGAGATGAGTATCTTCTGTGCTGTAAGCAGTGGATTTACTCTGGATTTAGTGTGTGTGTGTGATGGTCAGGGAAAACATAAGATCAAGTTTAGGAAAAAAAAACAAACTGCTCTCAGATGGCACAGCCAGGCCCGAGCGTCTGTCTTTATCTGCACTCTATCACCTTAATCTCCTACTAGGAGGGCCTCTGGGGAGAGGAGGTCTTATTTAATAAAGTGTCCAGTCTGTGCTGTGGACTGTCAACACTAAAGAGCACTAAGTATTTGGTGAGGAGCATGCTAACAAGCTTGCTGAAAATGTTTTATACCTTCAATGTTTCTGGGAGAGAAAAAAAATGAGAGAGAAATGCTTTATTAGTTTTGTTTCTGTTCTTTTATATATATATATATATATATTTTAACCTTTTAAACATTTTAGTATTTAACTGAATGTTGAGTTTGTGCTCAGACAGGAAGAAGCTACTCATCCAAAAATAATATAAAGGCCAGATAGTAGATTGGACAAAGATCTTAATAACTGGAGGAATGTCTCCCAGTGCAGTTTGGATAAAGAGCTTAGTATTTGTAGATATATTTATGGTTGGATGAAAATAAAATTACATTTAGGAGAAAAGGAAGCTTAAAAACACAATCCACTCTGAAACACACAGGTGTGATCAAGTGGATGTGTTTTGCTGCAGGAGGGACTGGTGCACTTCATAAAATAATTTAAACGAGGAAAGAACTTATTTAAATATTGAAGCAATATCTCAATAACTCTCTCAAAAGTAATATCTTGGGTGAAAATGGGGCTTAGAAGTAGTTAGATTTTTATTTGGATGTAGGCAAAACTAAGATTCAGCTATATTTCTGGATATTTATTAATAAATATGTCACATTTTTGTGCATAGAAATCTAATACAAGTCCATTAAGCAGAGAGCTGAGCAGAAGGACGTAGCATGCAGATAATGGAAAATGAGGAAAGGTGTTCGCTAGCTCTATGTGATATCCACAGAAACCGGTCCTAGCATTTTTTTTTATTTCACATATCACAACTTCACCTCAGAATACTCCTCTGTGAAATTGCTGTCTTATGTATGATGACTTCCGCATCTCTTAAGGAACTCCCAAAGAGCGGCGTTTTAACCGTCTAATAACAAAAACATGTTCACACTGCTGCGAACTGTCGAAAGCGCTTTGGAGAGAGCTCATCGAGAGCGTGGGCAATAACACGGGCCTTCCACTGTTTCCATTTTTAAAACTCCAAAGGGAGCGTCTGTAATGCAGTTTCCTCGTAGTCTTTGTCTCTTGACTGCAACTGCTTTGCCCCCCTCCGCCGTTTGAGAGTGGGCCGCTGCTTTATTGCAACATCAGCATCATGACAGGAGCCTGGAGGGGTTGCTGATACAAGCCTGGACCTGGTCATAGATCTCAGTGGACATCGGTTCTGGCTTTTCATTATCTGCTCCCAGCTAACATCCCAGCAGGAGGACGTGTGTCTGGATAAAAAAAAAATCTCAATTATGTAACCGTCTGAGCGGCTGCCCATGTAAGAGTCGATGCATCAATGCTCTGCTGCTTCTGGGTCTCTTTGGAGTGTCTGGGAATTATGGTTCCAATATTGCGGATTGAACAGGATCTTCTTCTATATTTCTTCTTGTGACAAGAAATCTAAACACCAACACAAAATTGGCATTAAATCAATATCTTGAATATTATGGTTATCACTCATGTTTTTAGTGCGTTGACATTTGAAGACGTTTTGCTTGAACGCTCCAGGTAATCCACATATGGATTCACAGCCTCAAATGAACAAGCGAGAGATTAGTGGATCTGTTTAACCTCAAACCAGAGCGACGAGGAATTAAATCAGAATTTGTTCAGCGATATCTTCCTCTTGTCCTTTCCCCCCAGCAGTTCTGAACATTATGTCCCAATACAGCAACTCTGAGCTTACAAGTCTCATTATTCGGCTTTGAATGAAAGTGAATTTTGATGAATTGCTTGAAGGGTTTTGTCCTCACAACTCAAACTTAAGGAAGTGTCATAAATCATTCTTTTAAATCTGTTATTTGTTCTTACTCCACACCAATTTCTGGATTTGCTGAGATACTATAAAACCAATAGAAAGCTGAAACAGTTGGATTCAGAGTCAAACTTTGACTAGGCCATTCAAACACAAGGATAAGCTTTGTTGTAAACCTCTATATTGTAGCTGGGTTCATGGTAAACCTCCACTGATGTCTTCTCCAGGCCCTCCTCCAAGATTTTTTTTTTTTTTTTTAAATAATGTTTGCAAAAATTTCCAGTATAATACACCAAGGCTTGTCTTTGTAATCTAAAAATTTCAGTTTGAGGATGGAAACTTTTGCAGGTCAGTTTAAAAGTAGACGTTTCATTTTTGTTCGGTGTTGTGAATGTTATTACATCCTTTGTGAAAGTGTCGCTACTCACACTTTCCTTTTCTCTTGAGAACAGAAGACCGTCCTCGTGCCATGAAACAGACTTGCGGTATCAGCTGTGATAAATTACTTCTGGAACCTCGGAGGCAAAACGAAAAAGGGAGTTTGAACCGAGTCCCGAAGACAAGTGGATCCTACACTAAATTAAGAAGAAAATTTTAATGCTCATTGTGGCCAAATTACGTTTTTACACAAAAAGAGGGGAATTACTTGCAGTCTAATTGTATGTAAGAAAATTAGTTTTGGTCCAAAATCTTAGTAAAAATGAAATAATGATGTTTGCAAGTGGGGGATAATATTTTATCCATTATCACCAACACTTTGGTTACTTTTATTTATAATGCAAACTTGTCCAAACTGTGTTCAGCTCTCCTGATCAAATTAAACAGAAAGGACAACATACTGAATACTAAATAATTTGGACTGACTGGAAGCAAAAAGCTCTTTAAAGGAGCAGCAACTACTGTTATTCCCCCATTAACTGTATCAATTATCAATGTTTATGAGAGTATTCCCTTTGTGTGAACAGTTTTTATGAGCTTGCATAGGGTTTCCCAGTGGAACCATCATCCTCAGTTCTTCCTCCACAGTGCATTTACCTGCATCTCTTGCTGACTGGATTTGTTTTTGATT